TTGTTCTTCAGGCAAAGTCTCTCACACAGAATATTGATGTGAATCTACTCAAGTTAAATCTGAGCCTCTGCTCCTTGATGAAGTATCCATTATTCTATTTCAAACTGAAAGTGCTGAAGCACTGAGCCCGAAGAACAAAAAACGACTGAACAAATACTGATGTAACGCAAACTGTTGATTTAACCACGTTATGACTTAATATGAGAATAAGGATTTTCCTTCCTGTCAGCAGCAAACCACAGTTCAACCAAGTCCACTTTTGATCTTTCTGATGTAGGATCATCCTCGATGCATCAAGGAGAATTATTGATGAAGCACATAGGCCTTTTTACAAGAGCAATAGCACAGCTTTGATGTGGTGTCTTGGAGATGATGTGTCGTTACTAGAAGTCATTCATTGACATTTACCCCGCGGAACAACACACTTTTTCAGCCTCATCATGTCAGAACTGTTATCTCCCTCAAGCACTGAAAACATAACTGGATGAACACATGATTAAATGTACGTTTACTTTTTTTTAAGATGAAACGATTTCATGTAATTATTCTCTAGTTTGCTCATTTGACAGCGCTGTAGTCTACACTGTCAGAGATAACATAATTTAATGGAAATGCTTGTATTTATGTTAAGCAATGGGAAAACACCACGTCAGGACTTTTGTTTCATTATTGTAAATCTCGGATTTCACTCAGTTTCAAATCCAAGACTCTTCAATTAAATCTTGTTTATCATTTGTTCGCAGGGCTCGGCTTGAAGCTTGTAAGATATCATCTGCAATAAACCTTAAACTACAGATTTAATTAAAAAAAGATCAATGCAAAGTTTTTTGCTTCAAGTGTTATTGAGTATTCAAGTAAGGATTCTTTTTAGAACATGCTGAACCAACAGTGACCCGATGAGAAGATTCAGCTGCATCATTGCATGCTAGCCTCACTACAGATGTGCATTTATTCAAACTTACAAACTTACAATAACAAGATAATCAAATGTAAAATTCACAAATCTAAATTTCTTATGGAAAGTTTTTGGTAGATATTCAGGGGAAGTCCTGCTGTTTATTGCTTGAATATTTTGCAGTCTCTCGTTAACTTGTTCCTCCCTTCTGGTTTTAGTGCTGTTTACAGTGAACGAAGGCAGAAACTCAGTTTGATCATGATATTAGTGAACTGCTCACTCTCCAGTCTGATTCATGGGCACATCAATAGAAATATCTGAAGTTATAGCCCTATTGTTTTCAGTCATGGGCTACTGGTGGTAACAGGAAGTGTTGTTTAATACGACAAACAGCTACTTTTCAGAAATACACCAGAACAATGGGTATCTATTTACACTGCAGATAAACAAACACACACAGTTTAAATATAGGCTTTTTTATAGTTTGAATTAGTCAGGCTATAATCAACCTTTTTCCATTATGCCTTGAGCAACCACCATCTGATTTACTGCAAACATCCTGCATACTTTTCCACACAGTGAAACTGGTTATTCTGCTGCAGCAGTTGAAGGTGTGAAATCTGTCGCCTGCAGATCCTCATTCACCATCAATAGCTGCTTTATTTCAAACTGGTCCATAGTCAAGAATGCATAAAACAACCAAGTCTAATACAATTGCATTTTTCATTCGGCAGAACCATACACTCAGAGAAATACATTGCTCTCTGTGCTTCATGCTCCATTTCCAGTTGAAAGATTTAGATGTGAACTAGCAGAAGTAAGAAATAAGTAGCAGTAAACAGGGTTTGTATAAGCAATGACTTAATACAGCTCTGTTGCAGTGTTCATAGATGATAAACTGATAAAAAACAAACAGTAATGTTGATTGTGCACATCCATTGTAACCTGTGGAAACGGTGGTTGTCATATTTAAAATAAACTGAATGGCCACTGCCCAAAAAAAAATATTCTGACCACTAATGGTATAAAAAAGACTGAAGAAGTTCAGAAACCGATACCAGCATCAGAAATGCCACAGATGCTGCTCAAAGGTCAGGTCAGGGATTGTGTGGTTAGCGAATCAATGCACACGTCCAATACAGCCGCTCTGTAAAACTGGTTTTCTGGTAGTGTTGCCAGAGATGGCTACATTCTCAGCTCCCAAAAAAAGTTTAGCCAATCCCAGCTGACAATGGGCGAAAATACGTTATATTAACTAATATTAAGAAATATATCTTATATACCTTTTTTTTAAAAAAATGCATTATCATATCAGTACTCGGTATCAGCTGGTACATAGTCCAGGTATAGGCTTTGGAATCAGGACCCAGAAAAAGCTGAGGATTACAGAGGCAAGAATTTGATTTCATATTGTTGATGTCATATTGTAAATTTTAAGAGAAAGAAAATCAAACCTTAGTTGAAGGAAGAGTTGGAGTTTAGATGTGTCTCACTGCTGTTTCATTAAAACCATGTCACGCAGTGCACTTTTAATACACTCACCCTCAGTAATGGAGAAGCTTCTAACTCCGAAAGGCACTGATGGTGTCAAGCTTCAAAAGCATTCTTGAAAAGTCACTTTTATTCCATCTATATAAATATTTACCTGAAATGAGTTCACACGGGTACACTGTACACATTTACAATCCGTTTTTCAATAAATTAGGTTATTATGGTGGTGTTTTCGCTCTCAGGTTGTCTTTGTTATGGGCTTCACGCTGTGATTTTGTGACTGGCGGATATCCCATCTGTGTAAGTCATTCCCTGCTGGTAATTAGTGTTGTGTGAGCCGCGGTCATGTCTCCCAAGGAAGCTCTCTGCCCTTGGTCTTCAGTAGGCAGCAGGGGAAGCCAGACATTAAGCCCTAATTGATAGCAAAGGGAGAGTGGGGCTTAGCACTTTTTCTGCTGACTGGAGCAACCAATTCACATCAACCCCACATCCTACACTGTCTCACACAAAGGATCTCGCCCTTACCAGGTTATTATTAGACAATGAAACATCTACTGATCAAATCATTGGGATTTGTAGCCACTAAACAAAACAGATCCAAAGCCTGGTTGTATATCATCCCTCTTTTACAGCAAAGGGACAGATCTGGAGAGAGTTGAAATAATAATAGATGGGGAGTTTTGTATTTGCCTCAGACTAATGCTATAAAAGAAAACAGGGAAATAAATCAACCTCCTAGCTCACAAAAAGCTGCTGATACTAAACAAACAGCTCTGTTAAGTCTGAGGGTATATAGTGATCTGTACAAGGCGTGCTTACCTGTCACTGCGGCTCGTCATCATGCACAGTCGTCCATGTGGCACTGCCACATCAACAGATGCTGCAGGAACATCTGTTGGGGTCTGATGTAGTTTCCTTTTTCCTTCCTGGCAGCTTACAGAAAACATGTTGTTTGAATGTGTCATTGGATTTCTGACACATTTCTAGTTGTCAGTATATTTAAGGGCAACAAACATACTTTCCAAATGCTTCAAGCTTTGAGCACAACTAGAAATAACCAGCTGTATGTTGTTTATGGGCTTAGAATATTTGTATATCCTATTTTATCAGGGAGAGAATATAGAGCTGTGTCCCAAACTTTCATTTGGTGTAGATTATGATATTGAGAATCAGTCTTTAAGCTCGTCTAACAATACAACTGCACCTCTGAAGTCATGAAACCTGGAAACAGGTTTACATTTGACAAATGTAAAAATATAAAACTGCATTTCGTTGCCTTGTACTTGTGACATGCGCAATGACAATAAAGTTGAATCTAATCGAAAATCGAAAAATGTAGGAACAAGGGAAAAACGCAGTTCTTTCTTAATGATGACAATAATAAGGAAATTATTTCATGGCACCTCTCTAGACACCTGAGGACCCCTTACATTATATCATTGATAAACACATGAATAATTCATAATAATATATATTCTATATACTAAAACAAAGCGCTAAAATCAGATTAGGAAACATAAATGCCCCACCATACATATGTGACACACAAATTGTTAAGTTAATTCTAGGTAGAAATCAGGAGCGGGGAAGGCAGATACACTTGACAGTGCATGTAAGAGTGACTAAAAGTAAAGGTTAAAAGGTGATTGGTTTATATTTTTATTACTAATAGCAGAAAATCTCAAAGAAAAGTACTTTAACATTGTGTTACCCACTGAGTCAAATGTGTTTAATGGCAAATGCAATGCAAAACTTTGCAATACTTCAGATGTCTGCCTGCAGTATTATCCTTTAAGTATCCGAACTGTGAGAACACAATAAATCAATGGCAGCATTGTTGGTGATTTTGCTGAGCTGATTCAGTGCACAGTAAACCCTGACCTCTGAGCAACTCTGCCTTCCACAGTGGGTTTCAGGAACAAATCCTCAGCTCTGTACACAGTCCTACTTACAGAATCGAAAAGGTTTAACATACATCTGGTTTCATTTACAGAAAATGAGCTGACATATACATTTAAGTTTATTTGTGTAACTATCTAACTTATTGGAGCTTAATTTACACTTAATTTAGGTGTAAAGTGAACCTCTCTTTAATTTTTTTTGATCTGTGTTCCTAAAAACCAATTAATCAAGCTCCTACTTCCACACTGCAATTTCAATATTTATTTCTGGGTGTTTTATGACTTTTTAAAAGGGGCTTATTTAAGAGGTAATTGGGTTTGGTGGTTGCGCTGTTGTGTGATTTAAGTAACAGTTTAAAAATCCAGATGCCGTCTCTTGTCATCTTTTTTCCCAGTTGTTTGTGAGGGGATGTAACAGTTTCACACCTGCTCTGTCATCTCCTTCCATATGGAGGCAGTTTGTGATGCTCTAAATCTGCCACAGTTGCTTGTTGTATTTTTTTCAGTCACTTCCTTAATTTCCACTTTCTTTATTTTGGTCTTAAAGTTTGATGCAGCTCTGGTGTTCGAACCAACTTCACGTGAATCACCAAGCAACCTTTTCCGTGTGAAAATAAATACATGAGTGAGGCTGTGTTGTGTAAAAAAAAAAATTATTTTATAAATTTTGATTATTTTTTGTACTAACGATTCTTATCTTTTTTCTTTTACAGAAAGAGCTGAGTCTACCTAGAAGAGGCAGTTTGTAAGTACCTGTGAATATGTTGCATATTAGCATCTGCTGTAGCCTGTGTTCATTAACTGGACCCTGTATTAATCCTTAACCTCTATTTGACACACTGCTATAGTGTTATTTACAACTCATATTGACTCAAGTAATATTATACTTTGTGTATATTGTAATACACGACTTGAATTTGTTTAACGTCAAATCGATATCTAATGATATTCTTAGCATAGCTAGTTCATAGCAGTTTCTATCGGAGTCCTAACACTATATGAGAGTTGAATTTTGGATATAAATGTTTTAGTCTCATAGCGTCAATAGGTTTTGCAGATGTCTTCAAAAGTCTAATATTCATCTGAGTTTTAGACCTAAAAAAAGTCTTAAATATGTTAAAGATATTACATATTTATATTAGGTCTTAAATACATTTAGGTTGGTTTTGATATTGGGTTTCTTTCAAGATAAATATTGTGTGGTGTGTGTTGTACTGCAAATATTGGTGTGCCATTATAGAAGCACAAACAAGACTACTACAAACGCCACTGCACACTTAGCTTGTCTGTGGAAGAGACTGGATACCCACTGTCTCTGTCTGTAGTTTGCAATAATACCGATACAACGATAACTTGGTGAATCGAGGGTTATTCTCTTCTGGGCCAACTTAATCTTTAATTAGCACTTCTGGGAATTTCATATGCCTTCATATCTGTTGCACTTGACATAGGTCTTTCCTCTCATTCATTGTGGTCTAAAAAGTCTTACATTTATCTTGTTGAAACATGCAGAAACTCTGTTACATGACATTATTTCAGATACTGTGAATTTACAGGTATTCTTCTTTCATTACGGCTTTTTTACTAATGTACCAGCAGCTTGTTTCTCCTGTCTTTTATGAGGAAATACCCCAAAGATGTCTGAGAGTCAGCCTCTATTAAAGTGGAACTGAGTGGAAATTTCAGCTATTTCACTCCGACACTTACCCGAGGCAGAATATGTCCAAGGTATTTCTCCAGCACTCACCTGTTTGTCTGAGGTTCACTCTGACTACAGGGTGGCAGATCAGAAGCAATTATTCAAAATCTCTCCCTAGATTCACATTTGTCATTTTCTGAGAAACCACACTGTATGAGGACTCTTATTAAGGCACTTTGACGCAGTGTCTCAGTGCTGGAGGACAGAATGAAATCCTTTTTTCAATATATATGGTCTACTTTATGTTTGAATCAGAATCAAACAGTGGATGAAGTTGGCTCGAATGGTCTCGACTGGTCCCTCTGCTGGTCGGTTAACTTTCTATCAGAAGCTTTTTTAAAGGTGACACTCGGCCGGTGATATGTCAGATGAATTACATCTGAGCCATGCGAAGGTGTAATGGACTTCCTGGACATTGATTTTACTTGAAGTCTGATACATTTTATGGCACTGAAAGATTCACCCATGACACCTTGCTGCTCTCGCTGCCACCTCACATCTCCCGTTACAGAGGTGAGCCATTACTAGCAGTGATCTGCTGTGAGATCACCAACTGCACTGGTTGTTATTTAGAGCGCCTGAGCCTCCACTGACCTTGGTAACCATAGTAATGGTGTTTGGATATGACAAAGTTTATATGACTGCTTCAGATTCATCTTAGCTGCAGTTTATTTAAATAACTGTCCTGTATTTTCTTTGTTTGTTACTTTGAAAACAAGAAAAGTGAGCATGACGCAGCCCATATCCTGTAAGACGGATGTGTTGATTTCTCTTGACGCAGTAGCTGACATCTTTGACTGTTGTGCACCGCTTGATTTCAATGTGTCGGTGTGAGATTTATTATTGAAATTCCTTTCCCACATTTGGCGACTGATGGTTTTTTTTCAACACGAGTCATTGGAGAGCGATGACTGAAACCTATTCATAGGCTGACCTTAATAACTAGAAGTCTTTTGCTAGGTTGAATTAAATAACTGAAAATCAATCATTTGTACGTGTTGGCAGCTCAATATGCGCTCACTGGATTTGTTGACAAATCAAAAACACATGGTGGTGCAGTTTGGCGTCCGAGGCAGCAAAGATGTGCTGCCCAACTACGTGAACTGCGTCACCATGCAACAGGATATAAAAAAGAGACTGACGGATACTGTTGCATGGTCTTTTTATGGTAATACACAAACTACAGATGCTGTCAACCATACTTCATGAACGTCATGACAAACCACTACAGATAATAACATTAATAATAATAATAATAGTAATAATACATTTTATTTATCCAGTCCCTTTCATACATAAAATGTAGCTCAAAGTGCTTTACAATAAAATCAAGGACATGAAATAAGATGGATTAATAAGAACATGTTAGCAATAAAACAAAGACTTAGGATAAAAAAACAACAAAAAACAACCATAAAACTAACCAAAGGTATAAAAAGAAGTTTAAAAAATACACTAAAGACAATGGTGTTAAAAAAAAGAACATACAATTAATTGAAAGCAAGATCATAGAAATAGGTATGGAGTTATTTCTTAAAACTATCAACAGAAGTATGTGTGGTGGTCGAGTTTGTTCCAAACCTTTGGTGCATAGCAACAGAAAGCTGCTTCACCAAACTTTTTGTAGTTTGTTTTTGGTATATTGAGCAAGCCCAGAGGGGACGGTTTGGAACATACTCCAATAAACAATCAGAGATGTGTGAGGGTGCTGTACCATTAAGAGATACTGTGATACTGGAATGAGATAAGGTATTATCAGTGGTTAACCATATAAAGAGATTTTTATCACAAAAGCTAGTAGATTGATTACCACATGGAAGGATGCAGTCTGGGACATGAAAGAAGCCACAAAATGTTTGTGCCGATCCAGGATTTTTTTTCTTCAACATTTTCGTAGATTTCTAACCCTAACCCCAAAACAGATCTGGGTCCAGTGAATTCAAATGTGGTTTCAGAAGGGGACTGTTGGCCCTTGGCTGAGGTATGAGCTCCCCTCCGGTTTTACGGTTGTATTCCTGTTTGTATATACACAGTATTTCCTCGGAGTATGAAAGACATCATAATTCTGGCCCACATTTGTTGACTACATCTGTCACTGCTGAGCTGAAGACTCATCCTAAGGTCAATGACAGAACTCTTTTTGATGGTAGTTATGTGTCTCTGTTCAGTCCCTCTTCATCACCTACACATCTACTGAGAGTTTCCATTTCCTTTGTCTTATTCCTGCTTAATCCTGTCATTTCCTTGATGAGACTTGTAAAGAACATCGTATATATAGTCTGAACAAAATGTGAAATGAATAATGTAAATGTTAAATCAAGCACAGGCTTATGACCGTTGCACTTTGCTATGTGACACATTTTTACCTAATTATTCAAAGATCAACTGGCAATGCACAATGTGTTGAGTGTCCCTTATACCTCAGAGAGTTACCACTTAACTCAGCAGACAGAAATTATAAAACACATATGACAAGCACAATTTTACATGAAACTCCATATCTGCTTGATGCATTGCAATTGCCCCAAATATCTTACAGCTAAAATGTGTTGTTCAATAGTTACTGTAGCTTCTCCTAAGATTAATGCTATTTTCTAAAATATTTAATTAAAAAGTGTGACGTCAATGAAATACTGTGGTCACAAGATGTTACAAGAAAATGTGATAACGGAGCAGCTTGAGACAAGAGCTGCAGCATTAATTCAAATGAGTTGATAAAGTGAAGCTACACACGACTCATTCCAAGTCAAGGGACAAGTAAGACGAATGAAAAGCCTGTTAACTATGACTGATGAGGGTCCACTTTTCTTTTCCATCAAGGTAGAAGTGATTTCAAATGAATTCAGGCTGAATAATAAAAGCTCCTCTGCACACTGTGCTGTGAGTCAGTGAAAGTTGTTTTCACCCAAGTACAGTAGCTGTTATATATTATTATGAAAACCTGGGTGAGTCACCTACCTTCACCCAAAGCCACAAACAATGTTCAGAAATGAGTTTAGTCCAGTTAAATTAGCTTGGCCGACTATTTATTCTTTTGTTTGTTTCATAATATTGTATACTACATGTAGCAAATACATGCAACACACTGATTTGTTGTTGTAGATACCCATGTAGTTTCAATGCATTAACTCATTTCTGTGGTAGTAGTATAAAAATAGTGCATTTTATTCTGTGTACTGGTCTCATTATAGTTTAATGTTTCTAACTGAAGCTTGTGATGGTGTATAAAATATGATAGTTCTATTTGACTGTTAAACTAACCAGATGACCCCTTATACACTTCTTATTGTGAAATGAGGTGTTCACTGTGGCTGAGTCTGTGTGGAAAATTCTGTATGGAAATGTAGTTAGTGGCATAGTTTTATATTTAACTTGAGAAGTGACACAATGGTTTAATCAAAAGATCACTGAAGGAATCAGTATTTTCCATGCTGTCGTCTGGTTCAGTGGTACAATGCACAAGTCATAATTGACAAGTAATGTGTAATACTACAACAATAAAATGTAATGTAATAAGAAAAGAATAAGATGTAATCATCAAGAAAAATAATTTGATTAGACAAAAGTCAGAATATTCAGATAATTAGGAAAATAACAATTTGAGGAAGTAAGGAAATCCAAATCCTCAAAAGAGACAGTTTTCTCCAGGTCCCTCTGTTTTTTTCTTTCTTCAGAATAAACAGTTTCTTGCAAAATCTTTTCAAACTTCAGATACTTCAGGACAAAGTTGAGCTGAAAGTAATGTTTGTTTTGTTGGTCATCCAAGAAAAAGCCTGATCAACAGGTTTGTGATGGTGCAGTGTTTACATGTGTGCTTAAGGATATAACAGGTCCTCTGGATGTCTCTGTATTCATATATGTCCCTCTGTTAGTTATTCTACCTCTGCACCATATTTAGAGGCAGAGGAAATTGTCTAACGTCCTGAAACTGTTGGATTTATGTCTCATAGATGAATTGGCATTTAATCAGAGGGTTCATTTTCCAACAAACACATGCTATGTATACCGTCTGAACTATTCTCTTCTGCTAAGTTCAAATAAAACGT